AACCCCCAGAACAGTGGGATGATGGGAGCTAATCGGCTCATCTCCGGAAATCCCACGTTCTGTTGGCATTTGAAGGTACAAGCTCCCATGCAATTAATTTTAATATTATCTGTAACATTTTTTGAGGAGCTCAGCTCAGGCAAACTACAGCTTGAAGAGGGTTTTGAAATGGATAAGCAATTCCCGGTGCCAAAACAGTTCATTCTTTGAAATCATAATTTCAGCTAAATTTATGTATATATTATGTTTAACCCCTTAAGGACACGTGACATGTGTGACATGTCATGATTCCCTTTTATTCCAGAAGTTTGGTCCTTAAGGTGGTTAAACTTGAAAAGAAAAAAATATTACATGTAAGGAATATTGTTTGATACGGATTAATCTCATGACATTGTCAGGTGACAGAAACTCTCTATGGTTTTAATAAAATAATTGAAAATAGAGGGCAGGGGAAGACCGCATTGTTGCAAACACAAAAATACTAATTCATCCTGTCAGCGCATCTATCTTTAGCACCCTGCCTTAATGAACTCATCCCTCATGTGAGATCTCTTTTAGCAAAACATGTTTGTAATCTTGTTTCTCAGCTGTGGAAATCAATCAGCCATTTCTTTAATCCGCTTTTCAACATCTGCGGGATTTAAGACATTTTCATAATGTCAAGAGGAAGTTTTGACAAAATGTAAAAAAATAAATAAAAAATAAAATAACAGCCTATAAAACCAAGTTTAAAAAGTTCTGCCACAGATAAAATGAGTAAATACAAAACGTTACTCATCAATTACTAAATACAATTTGTCCATGGAAGAGGTGGGAGAATATTAATAACAGATGTTGGTTCCGTCACTAAACTAGGGGCCAGAGAATTGATAAGGGGGGAAGGTGTTGACATTGTAGATTTTAGGTGGAAAAGGGGAGATGGCAAATGGCTAGAGTTTTCTACTTTTCAATTCTGATGTTATTCACAGACCTCCTAACGGTCCCGATTTTGGGATCCTGTTATACTGTCCTGACGTTGTTTCCTGGTGATACCACGATGAGGCCACCCATCCCGATCACCTATCTCCAAAAGTTGAGATGTATGATATTTTTATTAAAGGAATACTGTAACCACTAGGACCACTACCGCTTAATATAGCTGTTTTGGTGTAAAGGACCGGTCCTTGCAGTCTCTCCTCTGTAAACACTGCCAACTCTGTAAAGAACGCAATGTTTACATTCTTTCCCAAATACACTTCTACTGCCTCTATGATTGGCACACATGCGCAGTAGAGCCACCATTGCTTCTATATTTGAGAAGCACTGGATTGGCTGAGATCTTCCATACTGGGGCACGGGGAGCAGTGGCCGTGGCGAGAGATAAAAGTTCAGTAATTCTAATTTATTTTCATCTTATAAGGGGTCCATAAACCTAATGTTAGAATTAAATGTTTGTATGTCTAATGTTAGATTTCTCCTTAATATATAAAACACTTTTCATCTGTCTCTTGACTATTTCAACCCCTTATAGTCCGAGTGCTGCCACGATATGTGTTCTGTAACAATCTGTAAATAATCCAATTACATTTTATCTCTATGCAGAGAATTCCACGTCTTTATAGTCCTTCAGGAAAGTATTTCATCTTCCCAAATAATTCTATTACCCACTATCTGCAATCTGTGTATCTACTTTCATTTTCCTACTTTATAGCATGGAACATGTTTTCCACAAAATGTATCTAGTTAGTTTGCAAGGTATACTGCCTGTATCTTTTGGTTATGTTGCATTGTACTATTTCCTGTAGAGTATAAGCATATTTCACAGAGATTATTCACAGAATGTATTTGTTTGCTTAAATATAAGGCTCCACAGAATATGTGGGACCTTATAGATAAAATGTATAGGACTCTGATTTCTATAAGTAAACGGTACTTTTGTAAGATTTCCCAGGAATAAGGGACAGTCCAGCCTGTAAGAGTAGGTCATTGGAAAAAAATGTGAAATATATTTTTCTAATATACATTGCTTTCCTTTGTTTACTCAAATATCTGGAAGAAATCAGGGACCACTCAAATACCTGTAAGATTGAATAATAAAATGAATGCTAATGTATTCAGGATCTTGGAGTAGGATAATGTATGTCATAGACCTATTGCCGGACTGGGAGAAAAATTTGCCCTGGGCCTTTTTAATCACAGTGGCCCAGTGGAAGCAGGCGGGGTCAGTGAGGTCAGAGACGCCCCCTCTTAAAACCCAGCTGAAGAGTTCTCGCATGAGAAAAATATCCTGTATTTGAGATGTGCAGCCCAAACAAATTTAATGACTCGCCTTGTGCGATGTTTGCTTGTGACTTGTCTCTGATGTCTCCATAAGTGGGATACTAGAGGATAAAAAGGTCAGGAAAGCGTATTGTGCATGTGTTTGGAGCCTGCATGTGGGATTGTGTGTGTAGAGGGAGCTGATTGTGTTTTATATAAATAGGTCCGTTTCACTTATGTGGTGTGACGTGTGGCTAGGGACTATAGAGAGTGAGACAATGTGTGTGTATGCGAGCCTAGTGTGTATGGAGGCTGTGTACATAGGGGCTGTAGTCAGAGGTGTAACTAGAAACCATCAGACCCTGGTGCAAAAATTGCCCTGGGGCTACCCCATGAGTCTCATCTCCCCAGCCCCTCATGTGTCTCATTCTCTCCCCCCAGACCCTCAATGTGTCTCATTCTCTCCCCCCAGACCTTCATGTCTCATTCTCTCCCCCCAGACCCTCCATGTGTCTCATTCTCCCCCACAGCCCCTCCATGTGTCTCATTCAATTCCACCCCCCACCTTTTTTTCCCCTTTTTTCTATTTTTTTAACCTTCCTTATAGCAATGCCCAGTAGGAAGGCTGAGCTAGGTAGCCCACTTACTATTATGAGCCAACAACAACTCTCTCCTTTTCCTTCCTTCCTTTCTTCTTTTTTACAAGTACTCTGCTCCTTCTTTCTTCTATTCTACAAGTACTCTGCTCACAGACAAACTCACACTCACACATACACTTACAGACACACACACATACACACAAATTATTAATATTAAAGGACCACTATAGTGCCAGGAAAACATACTCTGAGTCCCCCTCCCGCCGGGCTCTAGGTGGAGGAAGGGGTTAAATTTACCTCTTTCTCCAGTGCCGGGCTGGGAGCTCTCCTCCGCCTCCTCTCCTACTCTTCGGCTGAATGCGCATGCACGGCAGGAGCCGCGCGCACATTCAGCCAGTCTATAGGAAAGCATTCACAATGCTTTCCTATGGATGCAAGCGTCTTCTCACTGTGAAAATCAGTGAGAAGCGCGGAAGCCCTCTAGCGGCTTTCAATGAGAGGCTGGATTAACCCATAGGTAAACATAGCAGCCTGCTATGTTTACAGAAAAAAGGGTTAATCCTATCTGGACCTGGCACCCAGAACTGGCATTAAGCTGAAGTGGTCTGGGTGCCTATAGTGGTCCTTTAAATATCCACCCAGCCTCCCTACCTGGAGAGCTGGTGTGGATCTATCCCTGGGGTCCAGTGGGGCTTCACTTCGACGGGCGGGAGAGTTCTAATCCGAGGCGGCGAGGGAGATCTAACCTCTCTGCTCTGCTCCCTTGCGGGCTGTCTACTGATGCCAGGAGCCGGAATATGACGTCATATTCCGGCTGTATTCAGATGTCACTGAAATCTTGCGCCCCCAAGCCTCTTGCGGCCGCCAGCTCTAAAAAGGAGAAATCCTCTCAAAAAGAGGATTTAGCTGCCGAAATCCCTACCGCCCACTTGGAATCCTGAAACGCCCACTAGTGGGCGGTAGGAACCAGGTGGAGGACCCATGAGTTAGATAATACAACATTTGTGTTTAGTTTCTTTCAACAAATTAGGGAAGTCTGAAAATCCAGGACTTTCTCCTTACGGACATCTGTATAATGCTTTTCTTAACTGCAATTGTCTTGAGACTTTGTAGAAATTAGCTGAGAAATAATAGCATTGTATTTGGCAAACATGACCTCAATTAGGGATATTCTCACATCTGCTGAATCCCAACTAGACATTAATTTTCCTGCTGTGTGTAATTGTTTGCTGGGAGGAAAATATTTCACTCTGAGCGTTAAAGAGTTCCATCCTAGAATAATTTCCTTAGTCTTCTAGCAGCCAAACCCTTGCAGCAGTAAAACGTTATGCAGATTCCTGTTGCTTTTGAAGCTTGATGGAAAACCATTGCTCAGCCAGTACAATGGACTTTCCCAATGAGCTTTTAATAACTAGAAGATTGTACCGCTATAAGAATGTGCTCGGATACTGTTTGGCTTTTAATAATACTTTCGGTCACCGTTTTCAGTAGCACTCTCAAATCAGTACAATATGCTTGTCGGTACTCGTAGTGATTTGTTGACTGTGCAATGGGTAGGAGGCGTGGGGCTTCCTTTCCAGTTAATATTATGACAACCCTCCACCACACTACTCTGGGGGGTGGAGGAAGAGGTGAAGGGATATTTGCCGTGTCCCTTCAAGATATGCTTTAAGTGGAAAGAGGTAGTAGGAGATGATTTGTCTCCCCTGGTTTAATTGCGTCACGAATCCCAGCCTTCATTGCTCAGTTGTTCTGTGCTTTGGCTGTTGGACAATTGGCTTTTAATGATTTCTGATCTCCTGGTTATTGACCGCTTGGCTAGTCCTTAAGCTCCAGAACTGTTGCTGCCTGGATATTTGATTACTTGGACTGTTTCCCTCTGGGTTTGTTTACCCTGGGCGTGCTTTAGTGAGCTGCTGTATTTTGGGTTCCACATTACACAACTTACTTGACAAATTGTGGGATCTAGTTGACTCCACTTTTAAAATGATTGTGTTTTTATAAAATGTGCGAGAGAGGCAGTTAACTCTATCTTATTATCCCCTTCTTACTGCATGCTTATGTCTTATCTTAGCACATTTATGCAGTTCTAAAAATAAAACAAAAGAGAGCAAAGAATTGTGCTGCATTCCACCGTGGTGCAGAATTGTGCTGCACTCTTCCATGGTGCGGAATTGTGCTGCACTCTACCGTGGTGCGGAATTGTGCTGCACTCTACCGTGGTGCGGAATTGTGCTGCACTCTACCGTGGTGCGGAATTGTGCTGCACTCTACCGTGGTGCGGAATTGTGCTGCACTCTACCGTGGTGCGGAATTGTGCTGCACTCTACCGTGGCGCGGAATTGTGCTGCACTCTACCGTGGTGCGGAATTGTGCTGCACTCTACCGTGGTGCGGAATTGTGCTGCACTCTACCGTGGTGCGCTGCACTCTACCGTGGTTGTGCTGCACTCCACCGTGGTGCGGAATCGTGCTGCACTCCACCGTGGTGCGGAAGCGTGCTACACTCCACCGTGGTGCGGAAGCGTGCTACACTCCACCATGGTACGGAAGGGTGCTGCACTCCACCGTGGTGCGGAATTGTGCTGCACTCCACCATGGTGCGGAGTTGGTTAATTTCAAGACACACATCTCTAACATGCTATGAGCCTCCCTGATTTTACTACTTTGTCAGGACATGTACAGTTTTTGTTTTGTTTTTTTTTTTCTCCCCAAAATATTGCAAAATCTGCACTTACACAGAGTAAACCTTTACGTAAACATCACTGAGCTAAACACAGAAGTCGGCTATTAAGCCATAATCGTTAATATCGAGGATCTCTTAACAGACTCCTGAGAAGAATTCGTTTTTCTGAACAGTAAATTGACCAATTAAGTCCGTTCGGAAATAACTCCCCCAAACAGCCACATATTGGCTTTGTGTAGAATAAATATAAAATGCAAGAAAGGCAACATTTGCATCCAAGGGTTATAATTTGTACATACGCCATGTGGAAAAAAACATCAGTTCCACGTAAATCACAATAATGTAGTAGATTTTATTTAGCTCAATTTATTTTCCATACATTCCATTGAAAAATTTAAGTTTCTACCGTCTTGTACGGAAATAAAATACTTTTCTTCCTGCATCGTGTCCTCGCTCTTGTTTTATATTCCAAAGTAAGAATTCCTATAAGAAGTGAAAAATGAAAATCATAAAATTCATAACAAAACAATCCCAATGCCAAAATGAACGCCTTAAGGACTGAGACAGTTGTACAAGTTCAGATCAAAACAAAACGTAAACATAATAAGAATTTGGGCTACATGTTGTTTAACCATAATTCACCTTTTTCATATTAAATACACCCACACTTATTACATATAATTTTGTTCTGGAGAAACCGGGCTTTCATGTCACATCAAATATTCATATATTAAACATAATTTAATATGAATAAAATATAAACGAAATTAGAAATTAAGACTTTTTTTTTTTTGTTCCTTCATGGCATTTTAACTGTGAATATTATAATACTGTTAGCTGTTACTTCAATAAAATACACATATTTGTATTCAGCAATGTCTCCTGAGTAAAACAGTACCCCCAATGTACAGGTTTTATGGTGTTTTGGAAAGTTACGGGGTCAAATATAGCACTTTACATTTTTCAATTTATACACATTGAAATTTGCCAGACTCGTTATGTTTCCTTTGAGACTGTATTGTAATCCAGCAATGAGAATTAACCCTATAATAGCATACCATTTGCAAAGCTAGCCAACCCAAAGTATTACAAATGAGGTATGTCCAGTCTTTTTTAGTAGCCAGTTAGTCACAAACACTGGCCAAAGTTAGCATTCATATTTGTTTGTGTGTGAAAAATGCAAAAAACCTAATTTGAACGCTAATTTTGGCCAGTGTTTGTGAGCTCCCAGGCGGTCCCCAGGATCGCGACCATCGTCGCGGGATCGGCGGGGATTTTTTAGATTGTTTACAGCAGTCGAGGTTATAGTTTGTAGATGAAAAGACATGCGTTTTTCACGTTCAGCCTCTCTCAAATTTCTTTTTGCTGTTGATCCAAAAATAGGTGAAAAACCCAGTTTGAAACAACATCCAATTTTGGAACAATCTAGGAAAAAATTCCTTGCTGACCCCAGAATGGCAGCCAGATATCTCCTTGGATCACGATGCTATTACCCCACTAATTAAAACTATTAGATATTCTAGGTGTGTGTTTGGAATAAATTCAGCAATAAACCGTAAATTCATAGAGGACGATCACAAAAATTCCAAGTGTTTTAATTTAAATAAACACAAAGCTTTAAAGGAACACTCTAAGGTTAAAATAAAATATAAGAAAAATAAATATTGATTTTTAGGTTGTTTAGATTCAGCCACTCTCTACTTATTTTAAATTCACCTGTAATCCAACGCCGGGAAAGACTCTGCCGCCCAGCTGCTGCTCCCCCTCTTCAGAGATAATCCTTAAAGATGATTCGACTCAATGCTTTACTTAGAGAAGCATTGAGAAACTATGGTGCATGCGCAGCAATTATCACGCTCTGCCATTCGGGTGCCTCTCGTTGAGCAGCATTGAATCTAATTCCGTGCAAACACGCTGTGTGTGATCTCTAATGTGAAGTCCTTTGATTTTTGAGGGTGTTCTGGAGGAAGTGCCTCTAATGGCTGTTAGTTTGTCGCCCTCGAGCATAGTCTTTATAGCCAAATAAAACCTTTACCGTTTATCTGAAATAACAATGTTTTACATTGTCAGACTACAGGGACTGGGTCTATACACCAAAACCACTTCATATCAGGTTGACCCTAACAACATTTGGTGTAAACGAGGAGCGGAATCTGACATATACTTTCCCTTTAACACTGGCAAGTGATATTTTAGAAGTAGTTAGAATTGCTCTTGGCTTTTTTGTGTCTTTTCCATTTTTCTTTTAAAACTTAAATCTTGGTCTTAGTTGGAATATGTCACCAAAAAAAAAAGTTCATGACTTCATTTTAGACTGCCTTGGCTTCAGGATTAGGACGACCAAAAATACCAGAGACGAAAAGTACTATTTAAACATATGGTTCATACTTTACGTACAATTATGTCTGCATGACAAGTGATTACTGTGTTCTTCAGACTGGAAAAATGGGATGAGATGCTTTCTGTGAAGCTAAACTCATCAACCTTTCTCTTAGCCCTGGCAAAGCACAATCACAGCATTAAGCTGTCAACCCTTCTCTAAGTCTACAATTCCACATCCTATTCTCTGAATTCTACAAAACTTTAGCCTGTTACCTTCAAATCCTCCCAGAGGAACCATACACTTCTAACGTTCATTGAACTGGACTTTGCCGGTGGAGAGTTTTGACCTCATTGAAAGTTTGCCCCTAATGAAACTATACAGGCTCGTATACACAGCATTATAAACCCCATCTTCAAAGGTATTAAATGAACCTGGACGTGGTGGGACTCGAAGGAATACTACTCCCCTTAAACACGAACTACTGGTTTTATGCAGAAAACCTATCGCAGCCCCTCTCAAAAGGCACGGAGTGTTCCGTAAGATCCTAACATTCTACAGAGCACTTCTTGTAATTTAATATTGGAAAGATCTTTCTACAAAGAGAAGTTGCTTGAGTTTTTAAAAATCCCCAGAGTCCATTTAAGAGCATGTTGGGGCTGCAGGTGGGACAAACGTTTCAAAGACATTTATATAGTTTCTTTTTAAATTGCCCGATGCAACCTCGTAAGAAAATTTTTTCCCCTCCTTCCACATCCTTAAACCCCCACTGGAAAAAGTAAAAGGAAAAAAAACAAAACAGAAGAGAATATATAAAATCGCAAATGATTTATATTGTGCTTACTGATGGTTCAAAATGCATGGATGTGTAAGGCTGAATGTGCAATTAAGTTTTTAAAGCTCTCTATTTTAAGCAATAATTTGGGAGAGATTTAGAACACAAGATCTGGGCCCGGTTCCCCTCGGGCCTATAAAGTCTGCCATACTTTTGTAGTTTTGCTAAAGCAAAAAAAGTGTTAAAAAAATAAATATTTTCCCTATAGCTGTACACTGGAAAATGTGCGCTCACACCTAGGCCTGAAACAGAACGCTCTGTTTTACAAAGCTTTCTAAAGAGCTGGTCTTGCAATGTAATGAAGTGCTTGAATCGTTTTAAATCAAAGATTCATTTCCAGGAATGATTTTCTATTTTATTCTAACATGGATCTAAGCAATGTGTTTTTATTAAAAAACATTGGCTATAAATCGGGCTCCTGGGTTGTCACCGAGTCTGAGACGTTTAGGTCTTTAAGAAGGGGGTCAAATAAAAGAATTAGACTATTTTGCTGTAACATTATGTTGTGATAAACATTCTTTAATATATTATCAGAGACTCATTAAAGCAACACTGTAGTGTGCTGTAGTGGTTATGGTACCAGGAGTGCTCTGGTGCCCATTTGCTAATGGTTGTAATTTTCACAGGGGTTCACCAGGTGCCAGTCACTGCCTGTATGCCTGCTAGGAGCTTCTGTTGGCTCTCAGGAAAGAAACTCTCTATCACTCTTGGCCACTGAGCGAAGTCCTGCACAACTAGGCACAGCTCAGACCAGCAACCTTCCAGTTGTCAGAGAAGCAGCGACCAGAACCTGGCACACTTATGACAGTTGTGGTTTTTTGTCTACATGTCTGTTCCCACATGCCTTCAATTTGATAAGGTTGATATTTCTATTAACGTCATTCTTTGGTTGCGTGAGTGAAGTCTCATTCTGTCCTGGAGTTATGGAATGTCCAGGGACCATCTGACCTTGAGGGGTTTAACAGGTTTGCAAATGTTTAACCACATAGATGGGGTTCTGGCACCTTCACCTCCCGGTTTCCTTCAATTTCGAGATACAGGAGAAGGAAGGTTTAGCCGGGCAGCTGACACTTTCATCCTTTCCAAAGACTCCCATTGAGAGAGAAATGGTGCATTTAGCTGACAAACCATCTAAACCTTCCTCATAGTGTAGAGATAAAGGAAGCCAGGAGGACAAGGCAGCAGAGTCTCAACTTTGGGGTTAAACTGTTGCAAAAATGTTTGACCCCTGAAAGTAAGACTGCATGCGGAAACCTCTGCCCCATAACCGTTTAAATTAATATATGTTTGTCTGGTGCGGCAGTGTTGCCTTAACTTTTCCTGTTGCAAAATTCTTTAACATAAGTAGCCGGACCCCAGGTAAAATGATTGGAACTGCTTTACATACATTTAACAGCTGTGGTGTAACCATCAGTTTAAACTCGACCACGCATGGTCCTAACCACATTTCAGATCTTTATAAGATCTTCTGGGTGCGTTCGGTTGGAAGAATTTGGACAAAAGTTTATACAGGCAGATTATAACTGCCTGATTATTATTATAATTTTTTTTTAAACTAAATCTCTTCCATAAGCTCATCCAGGGTACTTTCTGTATCTGTACCTATGCAAAGTTGTTATAGTGCTTAGAGTGACCCTTTAAAACATGGAATCACATACAAAAATCGATTATTTTTTTAATTTTTTTTTTTTAATTCCCTTTTTTTTAAAAATGTACAAAATGTTTTGCATTGAGTTTCATCGCGTTCTCTCTTTAAAAAGTAAAAGCTACATTCTACAATCTTCAGATAGAAAAGAATAATATTTG